AGGAAGTTTTTCACTATGAGGATGGTGGGACACTGGCACAGGTTGCCCAGGGAGGTTGTAGATGTCCCAACCCTGGAAGCGTTCAAGGCCAGGTTGGATGGGGCTTGGAGCAATCCTGCTCTAGTGGGAGGTGTCCCTGCCCATGGCAGGGGGGTGGAATGAGATGATCTTTAAGGTCCCTTCCAACCCAACCCATCCTGTGATGCTATGACCAGCCACTGCCACTCTGCAGCACAAAAGCTGAAGTTATTCCAACACATACCCAACGCTGGAAAGAGGCAACATACCCCTGCCAGAACATCCACAGAGCATCTTTTCCATACTTCAAACCTTACAGAGCCAGAGACTACAGAAGTGCTAAACCACCATTAAAATTTGAGAGACCTGAGTAAACTCAGCACCTTGTAAACCAAAGTGCTAAATACACAGACAGCACCTGACAAGAGGCACCAGGGAGAGGCACATTTCCATGGGCTGTGTTCCACTCATGGAATGACAACAGGAGAAGAGAAACAGGGAAGCTGCACAAGAAGAGCCCAGGAAAGCCACGTCCAGCTGAGCACAGCCCCTCCCTCTGGAGCCCCGGGCTGCAGGCACACGGGGGCCACTAGCCCCTTGGCACTCACCGATCCACAGCTTCCACATCAAAGCAAAACCTCTTCTCAATGGAGTCGGTCTTCCTGCGTGTGCAGGATTTGAGGATAACAGCTTCATCATCTCCCTGAGAAGAGACAAAATTGCAGGTGAGGCTGAGAACCATCACCCAGCCGTGTGCCCGTGCCCAGCAGCCACGCGTGAACGCGTTCAAACCTGGGGGCAATATCAGCCTGATAGAAATACATATTTATGTATCTGACACAAGGTCTTGGGTTTTTTTCACCCTTGCACACATGTTTAAATCCGAACTATTTCAGGAGATGAGGCAAAGTCAGCTTAGCTTGCCCTGGCTGGACAGTGCCCCACAGAGCTGGCTGCCAGCGCTCGCTCCAGGCTGCGGTTTTGGCAGCGTGCTGCACAAGAGAACTAACAGGAGCAAACGTGTCTTCAGCTATTGTAAAACCCCCATCCAGGAGTGCACCCGGGCTGTGCAGGATTCCCCGAGGCCGAGCTGTGATCTGGTGGGATCTGCTGTCCTCTGCTGGAGGAGCTCCCTCTGCACGGACACTGCTGCTTCTGCCCGTGACTCCAGGGAACGCGGGTCCTGAGCGAGTCCCTGGGGGTGGCCACTCTCCTGTGCTCTCTGTGCCCCTCTTGATGACACCTTGGCTGGCCCCCCTGTTCCCTGGCATCACCCTTTTTCCAGGGAACATCTTCAGAGCCCCAGAAAAGACCCAGAGCTCGCTGCAGGGCTTCTCCCCAGGTTCAGCAAAAAAAAAGTCCCCTGCCCCTGGCCCTGCCCAGCCTGCCCTGCCTGGCACAAGGCTGCTCCCAAGCTGCCCAGCTCCCCAGCAGGCCAAAATTCAGGGATCATTCCCTTCAAACCCACGAATATCTGGCTCCAGCCACAGCCTGAGGCACATTCAGTGTCCCTTGTGACCCACACAGCTCCAAATCAAGGAAGGTGTTCTCTCATGTGAGAAAACACAGCAGGAA